CAACCTCCATTGTGAGCTCTGGATTCATAAAGCCAAGTTTGTGTTTGTGCAACTATCTTATGGGCATCCTGTTCCAGGTTCTATTGCTGCACAGCAAATCCCAAAGCTTAGTGGTGTAGAACAACCATTTTATGACGCTCACAGACTCTGTGCATCAGAATTTCACGGAGAACACAACAGAGATCTGTAATACACTGTGTCTAGGACTTCAGCTGAAGAATTCAAAGTTCAAATTTGAGAATATGGGAGTGGAATCATCTGGATGCACCTTCACTCCTACGTCTGGTGGTTGATGCTCCGTTGGCTGGGACCTCAGCTGGGCTATTGGCTGGAAGACCTGCGCAGGGCCCTTCCCTGTGATCTCAGCACGGGGGCCAGTTTCGACTTCCTCACAAGATAATAACTGTTCTGAGAGCAAGCGTCCCAGAGAGCAAGGGAGAAGTGCATGGAATTTTTATGATCTAGACTTCGAGGTCACATAGCATCAATTCCATTGTATTCTGTTAGTCAAGACAGTCACAAAGACCCACCCTGGTTCAAAGGGAAAGATCAGAGATCCCCATATCTCATGGTAGATATGCCAAAGGCACATTGTAAGAAGAGAAGGCATGAGGCAAGATAAGGTTGGAACCATCCATGGAAAATAACAACCCACCACACTTCTGAAACTCAGTATGTTCAAACCCCAAACCATCATCTTTCCTGCCTCCCAAATCTGCCTTCTCCTTATTGTTTACCTTAGTGAATCATGCCCATTATTATTTAGGCAACATTATTTTTTTTTCCATTCAGGGTAATGCTATTATCCCTCAGTTGCTTCAGACAGAAACTTGGGAGTCAGTACAGAATCCTACCTGACTTGATCACACCAAAACCTCCTCCACACCCACTTAACTTATTACCCAATTCTTACAATTTTGCCTTCTAAATATATCTGGAACCCATATGTCTTAATCCATTTTGTGTTGCTATAACAAAATATCACAGACTGGGTAAATTATAATGAACAGAAATTTATTTCTCACAGTTGTAGATTTGGGGAAGTCTAAGGCTGAGGGCCTTCTTGATGTGTCATCCATGGAGAAACGTGGAAGGACAAGCGAGAGTGACAGAGAGAGAATGAGAGAGAGGGGGAGAGAGAGTATGTGCGTTAAGGTGGGCCAGCTCCCCCTTTTATAACAACCCCACTCCTGCAATAATGGCATCAATCCATTCACTTGGTCCTTATGGCTGAATCACCTCTTATTAGGCCCCACATCTCAATACTGTTGCATTGGAAATTGTTTCCAGCACATGCTTTTTGAGGATCATATTTAGTTCAAAGCATCATCATCTCCTTTTATCCCACCAGCCTCAGTTCAGGCCCATCAAATAGGCCCCATATCTCCCTTTGCTTCTGGCCCCCCTTTCCACCAACTGTCAGCCTCAAACCCACTCCGTGAGCTGCTATCAGAGTCATTTTCTAAAATTCAAATCTGATCAAGCTATTGTTTTCCTGAAAACCCTCCACCAGTTCCCCCAGTTCCCTAATTTGCTGTGCCAAGCCGTCTACATCAGCTCCTTCTCTACCTCCATTCTCACGTCAATCACTCTGAGACCCACCTCTACTCTCCAGCCACATGGAGCTGTTTGTAGCCCCTCAAACCCCCAGCGACCCTTGCACTGGCCTTCTGCATGTGCAATGCCTGCTCTTCTGGGTCTCTCCACCTCCTCTTTATCCTTCAAGACTCAGCCAAGTCATCCCTGCCCAGGAAGCTTTCTGTGCGTCTCTTTGCTATTTGCTTACTATTTCTTCATATTTGGCTAAACAAAGCTAGCTTTGATTTTAACTACCCTCCAATTCTGATTGCTTTGAAGAAATTATGTTATACAGAAATTAAAGCTGGAAGGAACCTCAGAAATCCTATAATCTCTCTTAACACCCACTCCTCCTCTAAACTGAGCATCTTACAGTCTATCCTTAGCACCTCAGTGCCTGGTATACAGTATTTTTTCAGCATGTTATTAAATTGAATAAATGTACAAAATTTTATAACCAAATTTGGAAGTTATGATTTTGGGAAACCAGAACATGATTGTCAGCCTAATTGGAATCATAAGTAGGTAGGTAGAGAAGGTTCACAGTGGGCCCCGGGAAGACACCCCCTCTCTGCCAGGGATACAGAAGATGGGCAGGTTTCTCTTTTTTACAGAATTTTCAATTTCCTTTCACTGATTTCTCCAATGAAGGCATCATTCATGAATGATTTGGGTGTTTTTTGATTCCACTTAATTTTTTGCTCCAACTTTGTCTTATGTTTTATGCCTTCTTCCTAAAATGAGAAAAAAAAAATCACAGGATTCATGGTAATAAGGAAATCAATCCAAAACAAATTAGATCTTGTTTTCTCTCTTCCTTTCTCAAGAGTACTTAATTCCATCTTATAATGTTGCTGAAGACAGGATTTTAAATGGACAAAGAAAAACCACAACATATCCTCAAGGTAAATATAGGTGTTTTCATATTTTATAAACTAGCCATCCATATTCCTGATAAATAAAACTTTACAAGCTTTTAAATTCCACATCTAGCTCTTTAATATAAAAGCTTTCTTGACAAAGGCAAGGTGTTGAAATAGTAAAGTGATCTTTTTGTTCCCCAGAATGAAGATGAGATTAATGTTAAAAATAGAAGAGCAAAGGTAGTAAGAAGGAAGCTGCTGTTTCCTTCCCTCTTCCACCTTCCACAGAAAAGGAAAAAGCCAAGATCATCTCTATTGTGATCACCAGCATTTATCAGGTTTTCCTGTCACTGCGATGATATATAGGGCTTTAAAAAGAAGCAGCCCAGGAAACTGCTTAGATCACTTTCTTTAGTAGAATGAAGTAAGGAGCGACAACTTTTCCTGTAGTGAGTTCCAACTATGCTTTAAACATGTTAAATATGCTTTTAATAATGTGTAGAAAAATGTTTAATTCTTCTGAGAAGGGAAGGAAAGACCAAAAAGTGTAACACTGGCTTTTAAACATCATAGTAACATACACTTTGAAATATAAATATAGCATTATTCACTTTAGAAAATTTAGAAAAATATTGTTTAATACCAACAGAATAAAAATCTCCCATAATGACATCATCCAGATATAAATATTGTTAATATTTTAGTGCATATCCCATCAGTGTCTTTCTCTCTCTCTCTCCCATCCCTTCATCCCCATGTATGCATATGTGTATATAAACATGAATTCAAATACATGTGCTAACAAAATGAAATCATACTCTACACATTGTTTTGTAACCCAAGTTTTAACCCATTTTAATAAATATTTTTCTATGTATTACATTTAGTTGAAGCATTGTAACAATGTAAAAAAGTAGAGAATTTCACTAATTCTCTGCAGTTGTGCAGCAATGGCTTTTTAACGATAGAATTTTTGGCAACAGTGGCTGGCCAAGAAGGAAGCTGCTTTGGGTGGGAGTTGGGAGAAGACTGAGCAACACAGTGGTACAGAAATCTGGCCATTTCTAGACTCTTCTGATGGGCAGTCTTTGTTCAGCGCTGCTGATTGGGTGGCCCTGCCCAACCCTACTTCGTCCATGTCCTGTCATGGTCTCACTGTGCAGTGAACCTTTTGCCCTCCTAACTCTACCTCAGTCTCTGCTTTCCTGAGAAACCACGGATACATTTCCACTTTTGAATCCCAAGAGAGCTAATTTTCTGATTTGGCTTCTAAGTAGGGTTGCCAGATAAAATACAGGGCCCTCAGTTAAATTTGAATTTAATATAATCAATGAACGATTTTCTTCAGTATAAGTATATCCAGTTAAATTTGAATTTCAAATAAGCAATGAATAATTTTTTTAGAGTATAAGTATGTTCCATACAATATTTGAGATATACTAAAGAAGATCATTCACTGATTATATTAAATTCAAATTTAAGTGAGAATTTTGTATTTTTTTCAACCCGAAAAATTTAATTTAACCAACCCAACAAAAAAAAAAAAAAAAAGGGTTCCTTCAAACCAAAATCAAAGGAACCCCAACAAAATCCCAAAAAAAAAAACCTTCAATTTGAAAAAGCAAAAAACGGGAACCTAACTCTCTGCTTACAGTTTCACATTTTTGATGACTGGAAGAATTTTTTACTGACTACTTTCTGGTTTTATACATTCCAAACTTGGTTTCTCCCCCCACTTTCTACGCGGTTCTAGGGACTGGCACTGCAGCCACATTCGTGTCCTGGCCCACAGCATCTGGCCCTGCCCCTTCATGTCAGGATGTCTGGGGAATTAGCACAGGGTGGCAGGAGTGAGAATCCTGTATTTTTATCTGCTAAATCAGTGACCTACTTCTGGGGTCATCTTTGTGCCTCTGTAACTTGTCTCATCAACTAGATCATGAGGTCCCTGAGAATACGGGCCCCAAGTCTTATAACTCTCCTATTCCCCAGGAGCTTTATAGAGCAGTGCTTTCTAGCTACTTGAAAGGGGAACCTTCACACAGTTCCAGCTGGCCCATAAACCTCCCAGAAAACAAGGGCAATGCTTAGTGTCATGCGGATAAAAATTCACGTATGTACAATTGTTTACAATTATCTTCAATATAGCGTGGTCCTCAGAAAACTCTGTGATGTCAGCCCCCATAGAAAGGAAAATTATTGTTATTCCATTTTACAGGTTACAATGAGATAGGTGATGTGCCCAAGATCACGCAAAAGGGGAACCAAGTGCTTATGCCATGCTCTTAGCAACCCAAATCCTGCAGCCCTTCCTCTCCACGGGAAGCACAGAATGTAATTTCTCAATTTCAGCGAGAATGTCTTCAAGTTCTTCTAACAACGCCGACAGACAGAAAATGGCAGACAATAGTGTTCCGTTGCGTGGGAATCCCATGGGCATTTCTAAGCTGAATGGAGAAAAATGATGAGTTTTTAATTGTCTCTAAGCCTTGACCATTGCAGCATTGTAGCTGGGGAATAAAATAAATATGGAACAACTGACGTTAAGATAAGTTTCCTTTAACTCCAGCCATCTGCTGACTGGGAGGTTTGCCAGAAGCCCACTCCCAGGCCGCCTCCGTCCCGGCACCTTTGAGGTTTCTGCCAGTTGCACTGCGTCTTCCAGAGGATGTGAAGAAGCCAGTCGCCCTGCCAGAGTTTCTGTCCAGCACCCTGCGCCTTGGTCTGATCTGGTCTGAGCAGATTGTCTAACTCTGCTGTCAGCAGTATTAGAGAAAAAGAGAATTGCCTTTTTCCTTGAAAATACAAATTGCCCTATTAAAAAATAAATCCAACAGACTAAAGCATGAACTCATGAAAAATGAAGTAGGATATGACTATTCACATTACAAAAGGATTTTTTGTTCAAATCACTTCCTTATGAAAAACCTTCCAGATGCCCATTGCTCTTCACACAGAGCTCCTGGACACGACACCAGGGACTTCACAGCAGGATCATCTCCAGCCCCTCCCGCCTTTCAGCGCCCAGAACCCCGTATTCAGATTGCACCACTCCCAGCTTTTTCTCTGGAAATGCCACAAGAGTCTGGCTTTTGTTCGTGCTGTTGTCTAAGTCTTAGATGCCCACTCTCCCTTTCCTTTGCTCCACTTGGAAAAGTCCCACCCACCATTTAAACCCAGGGGTGTGTGTGTGTGTGTGTGTGTGTGTGTGTGTGTGTGTGTGTGTGATGAATTGAACCTTGCCCAAGGAGAAAGTCTGGCTTTTGCCTTCAGCTTCCAGGAGATAGTCTCTGGGACCTTGGAGTGTCATGCCTGGTAGGAGTATCTTTGTTTGCCTGGGCGCCTTGAGTTATGCAAGATAGTCTAACATTGTGATTTAGGGCGTAGGCTGGCAACGCCAGATAGTGTTTAGCGTGGGGATTGACCAGAAAAGCCAACAATGTGAGGTAGAGTGGAGCCTTTGAGCCACGTGGTATCAGTTGACTTGGGGACTGAGATCAACCATGTGGGCAATCAGTCAGTTGGTTATGCCTGCATGGTGGAGCCCAGGCAAACACTGCTGAGGTTCCCTAACTGGTGACAGCCCATGCCACACATCAATGCTGTCACACACCTGTGCCGGGAACGCGACTATCCGTGACTCAGGAGGGAGAGAACAGTGGAATTTCTGTGTTCAGTTCTTCCCCAGACTGCGCTGCATAATGCTCCCCTTGCTGATTTCACTCTGTATCCTTTTCCTGTAATAAACTGTAACTGAGAGTATAACAGCCTTCAGTGAGTTCTGTGAGTGCTTCCAGAAAATTATCAAAACTAAGGGCGGATTTGAGAACCCCCTGAACTGGCCACTGGTGTCAGCAGTAAGGGTGGTCTCGTGTGGACTGTGCCCCTCTAACTGCACAGAGGACTGACTCACAGTGTGGGCTCCACCACAGAGACTCTCTCAGTCCTCCAGGGCCCTCCTCTGGAGCCTTGTACTTCTTCATACCAGATAGTAACATTTAACACATTCGATCAGGAATCATGCTTATGTTGGTTTCCTATTGCTGCTGTAACAAACTGTCACATTTAGTGGCTTAAAACAAAACACATTTATTACTTTATAGTTCTGCAATTCAGAATTTCAGAATGGGTTTTACTGAGCTAAAATCAAGGTATCAACAGGGCTGGACTCCTTCTAGAAGCCATAGGGTAGACTCTGTCCTTTCCCTTTTGCAGCTTCTTGAGGGTACCCCCATTCCTTGGCTTGTGGCCCCTTCCTGCACCTTCAAAGCCAGAAGCACAGCATCTTCAAATCTCTCTCCTATTCTGACACTCCTGCCACCCTTTTAAAAGGATCCTTGCAATTACATTGGGCCCATCTAGATAATAGAGGATAATATTCCCATCTCAAGATTCTTAACTTTATCACGTCTGCCACGTAAAGTAGCATATTCACAGTTTGGGGTATTAACACATGGACGTCTCTGCATGGCCATTATTCCATTTCCCACAGTGGTTGATTTGTTTTATCTAAAATTGGCCTCAAAGTGTATGTACACATCAGAAACCCTCTCTTTGCATTAAAGTAACTAACAAGAATTATAATGTTTTACCTAGGAACTATTGTTGGAATCCCCTAACCTAATGGCAACTATAGAGTCTTTGTGAAGATCATCTGAGACAATTCATATAAATCACTTAGAATAATGCCTAATGCATATAAACTAAACAAACGTCAGTTTATTATTGTTAGTTTTCTTATTTTTATCTATTTATTTATTTTGCATTCATACTTTCCATTCTACATTATTATTATTACTATTTTTATTATTACTATTATATATCTCATATATGTAATGATGGGGAAATGTCAAAGTCAAAATGTCTTCCAAAGCAAAGGTCAAAATGTCTTCCAGAGACAGAAAACAAAATATATCAAAAAATGTATTACATATCTTAATGGGATACAAGAAACAATAAGAAACTATGAGAAAGGAAGAATGACAAAAAGTTGGAAGCATTTTATTCTGTTAAGAATCTCTCCCTGGAGTATTTATGCAAGTCCAGTGCATGTGGATTGTTCCGGGGAGTTTGCAACCAACGTGGGGAGGCAAGCAGAAGGTGGAGGCACGGGGATGCCTTTGCCTGGTCCTCTCGTGGGTCTGGAGCTGATGGAAGCAGGAGCTTGCCCTCAGCATGAGGAGGGAGCAGACACGACTCCCACGGAGCTGCGGCAGAAGCCCACCCGGCCCGCCAGGTTACCACCTACCTCACCGCCTGCTCCAGTCTAGGGGCAAAGTGGATGCGGGTAATGATGTGAAAGTAAATACAACACGCTGGTAATTACTCCTAGGTTCTGCCCTTTCATAAAAATCTAATAAAATTGGACTTTAAATGTCTATATTCATAATGCAGCTGTGATGTGTTTGCTCTGGTATTACTTTTTTGTCTGTCTTGAATTTTTAAAAAGGTACATTTCATTGGAAAACAGTACATTTTTTATTTTAAATGGAATAGAAAAAAATTGATTTTTTTCTAAGCCCTAATTGCAAACATGTCAAATAACATGTCACATTTAAAGGCCGTCATGGGAGCCAAACAGTGTAATTGTATATGGACAGTGCTATCTAATTTAGCTGGGTTAGTATGATTTACTAGGATGTTTTGCTATTGGTTGCATTATTTAGATCTTTGATAATCTTCTTCTTTTCCCTAGTAATCTAAATCTGGAAATATTCACCTTTTTTTGCCTCAGGAGGTCATTTTTGTCAGTCAAATTATCTAGATGCACCGGGAACTGAGCCCGGAAAAGGGGTGAGGAGAGTCCCGGCAGGTCACGAGCTTACAAAGCAGCACAGGCACATGAGCACAGGAGAAACAGGCTGGTCAGAGCTCTCCAGGGCTGGTTTGCTTAGGTCCTGTGGAACTCTGTAATTGTTGGAAAGTTCACAACCAATTTCTTTTTCTCACAAAGTCCTTTTATTTCCTAATATTTCTTAATGAAAAATTAATTCAGGTCAAAGCACTAATTTGCCAAACTTGGATTGGGTTGTAGCATTTTCAACACAATTTGCTTTCAATAAGAAATGAGAGCAAGCTATTTCCAAGACCCGTCCATGTGGTAATTCAGATAGGTTTTTAAATCTTTGAACTTGGCTAGTGTGAATGTGTCACTGTGTTTACGGGCCTACTGCCCTGTTATAAGAGCCTCCAGGCTTATAAAATAAAAGTACACTTTGCCACAGTTGAGATGTTCATAAATACAATACTACTGATGCTGTGATCAGAAACTCTTCCCATGAGGCCATCCACATGCCTCACATCAACTCCAGCCTTTAAGCCACACACAAGCATGCGTGTGAGCCTCAGTATCAACTGTCCAAGGGAAAAGCAGCCACCTAGTTAAATGCAGCTGGCGCTTCCTAAAAACTCTGGAAAAGCATCCCATAAGTAATTGCATTATGATACATACTGTAGCTACCAAAACCCTTTATTTCTTAATTTTGTAGTGGACTTTCTATTTGGAAATTGTTAGGTTGTCAACAAAAGTCTTGTGAGTGATTCATAACCTGGAAACTAGCTTTTAAGGTAGCTAGATGTGTCGTTATCTGCAACAACCCAAAAGGTGTTTTTTGATTTTTTTTTTTTTTTTTTTTTCTTTTTTTTTTTTTTTTTTTTTTTCCTGAGAGGAAGGGAAAATGGTCTATGAAAGGAAATCACTTTAAAAATTGGGCAATGTGGCTCTGGACACCATGTACCTGGGATACTCTTTGCTGAAGCACACTCTTTGGAAAATACAGAGAAAATCTAGTTCTAGACCACTAGTAACTCTATCAATAGCCTCAATATTATCATATGATGATAAACAGTTCTTGAAAAAGAAGAAAATAGAGTATTTGGAACTACAATTAATCAAAAAAGTGGATTAAAGCACTGAGTCAGAAATGCTTATACCTACCTTTCTTAAATATTTTTTCAACTTTATGGATATATTTGCATTTGTCAATTTCTTCACTTAATGATATTCATTTATGTTGAGTGTGTATGTACTAATGGCAACTCTTTGTTGACTTTATTTCACACACCAGGCCCATGCATCATCTGTAATTTTTATTTCCACTCTCCTTAAAATTCACTGAAAATTTTAAGAATTTGCGATGTACTTTTAGCGCAAGATCCATTTAGATTTTTATGAAATATGAAATATTTTTGCATCTTTCATAATTACCTTGCACAGACTATATTTGAGAGCAACGTTTTATAACAAATTCATTATGTCAAGACTGCAAGACTCTAACTGCTCTTTCATGCAAGCCATTTCTTGAGGCTACTTTTGCAGCAACTTTGGGAAAGGAGGCAACATCTCTTCCTAAACAAAGGGTAGGCTCTCTTACTGCTTGCTATAAAAGAAGCAGATTCCCTAAGTCCTGTGCTCCTCAGCTGCAGTACACATTTGTAGCATTCATCCTGGCCCATCACATCACCCTCATGAGACTTAGAAGCAAGAGAAACCGATGCAAGTGTGCTGACACTCCACTGCTTGCAGTGCCGGGAGCAATAAAGTCAGAGCATGTTTATTCTGGTCAAATTGGTTATGTGCAAGCCAGTCTAGAGAGCATATACTACACAAATAAGGGGCAATATCTATCTAGCTTTAATAAAAGTAAATGAGTTAAAGCTGAGGACATAATACAAATAATGACCATCATGAAAAAGGTTAATAACTACCATGGCTGGCCCCAAAATAAAAGTTAGCGAATATAAAAGAAAATTGGATGAACTCTTCTATCCTTAGATTTGTCCCCTAATATAATTCATTCTTAGTATTTTCCAGGGCAATTAGGCAACCATTCAATGTGATTTTTATTAAGAATCCATTCATGCCATTTGCTTGGTGAAGTTTCAAATTGATTCCTATTATATATCACAACACACAGACATAAAGACTTCTAAGAGTGCATATGTAGGAGTCAACCTTTAACATTCCTCTCACATAAAATCACCAGTTTTCCATTAAATACAATCAAATTAGACAGCAAAGAAAAGGAAAAGGGATATTTTTTCTTCCACATAACTGCTTTTATAACTACATTTAATAAGCATATTAAATATGCTTAATTACTATATACTAATATGCCACATAACTACATTTAATAAGCATAAAATATTTTCTTCTATTAAAAGTATTCATCATTTCTGGGTCCCATCAACACTGTACATCATCAAATTATAAATTTAATTTGATTTTTATAAAATTAAAATTACTAATTTTATGTAATTAATTTTATGTATTAATGTAATTTTTATGCATTAATACATAGTGTATAATTATGTAGTATGCATTACACATATGTGTTATAGAAAATGAGGACTATTCAGAACAATATAAGGAGGCCGGGCGTGGTGGCTCACGCCTGTAATCCTAGCACTTTGGGAGGCCGAGGCGGGCGGATTGCTCAAGGTCAGGAGTTCGAAACCAGCCTGAGCGAGACCCTGTCTCTACCAAAAATAGAAATAAATTAATTGACCAACTAAAAATATATATACAAAAAAAAATTAGCCGGTCATGGTGGCACATGCCTGTAGTCCCAGCTACTCGGGAGGCTGAGGCAGGAGGATCGCTGAGCCCCGGAGATTGAGGTTGCTGTGAGCCAGGCTGACGCCACGGCACTCACTCTAGCCTGGGCAACAAAGTGAGACTCTGTCTCAAAAAAAAAAAAAAAAAAAAAAAAAAAAAAAATATATATATATAAAAGGAAGGAAATTAAAATTATCAATGATCTCCACCATAACAGAATAATCACTGCTACGTTGTTAGGTATTTAGACTGTTTCCAATGTTTTGCTATTATAAAGAAAAGTTGTATATTAAGGTAGCACTATAACAGATAAACCCCTAAAATCTCTACCAGTTAACACAGTAGAACTTTACTTATTTCTCACGTACAGTTCAAACCAGTGTTCCTGGTCACCAGGTAGCTTTCTTTCAAACGGTGATTCGGGGATGCAAGATCTTTTCATAGTATGGTTCCGCCATCCAAGGGCACCACGGAAAGGGAAAAAGCATAAACAATCCCCAGTGAGACCGGAAGTGGCACACCTCACAAATCACACCTGCCCACATTCCACTGGGTAGAACTTAATCAGATGCCCACTCTAACTACGATGGAGGCTAGGAAATGTCTATTTGCTGTGGGTTCGGGAAGATGAGGAAATGGGGTTGTGGTTAACCCTTGTGGGCAAACCTTCTCACATTCATGATTATTTCTTTAAGAGAAATTTCTAGAAATGAAGAGCAATTTCATTATTTTACAAGTATTTGGAACACAATTCAAACTTCTAACTTCTCATCACAGCCTTAAGAGAGAGATTGAATATGTCACTGTTCTTATCAGAAGTCCTGGTTTATTTGAAATTATATGAAAAAAATCATGGATCAGCAGGCTTTATGCCCTCCGATCACCTCCCTAATAATAGGACATTGATGAGAAGCTGGACTTCTTTAGGTACGTGTGTGTGTGTGTGTGTATGTGTATATACGTAGGTATGTACATACCAGAGCCCAGGTAAATATAATGTGTAAATGTGTTCCAGTTATTTTTAGTGGCATATTCACGTTTTTATACCACAAAAAGACAATTTACAAAATTTTGGATGTTGGAGAATCATTTCCTTAAGTATAAATTGCTTTTGAAACCATAACCATTTTAAATCTGCCTGGGATAACTTAAAAATTCAAATAATCATAGACCAAAAGTCATCCTGAAATTATTTTCTGTTCTCCACTTCTTCTCTACCATTTATAATCAACAAAAAGTAATCAGCAAATAAGGATAATTCTAACAAGGTGAATATAATTCTCTGGAATCCAAAGCATAAGTTGGTGTCAACAATGCTGGATGTATATTTGTCGGCACATTTCCTCAGCCATGAAACCTGCTCCCCTGTGTCTTCTCAATTGTCCACAAATTTGATTATTTTTTTCTGACAAATTTTCTGGCTTCTCTTTGAATGATTGTATGTTTACCTAAACTATTTATAAAATGGATATTTTTCGCACAGTTTACTGTATAGTTTTCTCATTTACACTCAGTACTATAATAAATATGGCATTAGCTTCCTTTCTAAAGGGGAAACTTCCTTTCCTCTTTAAAGTGATGGTTAACACTTAACTATAATCCTGTCTTGTAATAGAAAATATGGTTCAGAGGCTTGAACCAAATGAAATATCGATTCAAGTTGGAGAATATTTTGATGTTTTAGTTTTGTTACAGTTCAGTTGTTTTAGAAAATATGTAGGTTTGGATTTAGTTCAGACTGGTTCACTGGGTTTTTTGTTTTTAATGGATTTGATTTATAGTTCTGTAAAAAGTTTAATATTAGGTTTAAGTCAGAGAGGACACATTCAGCAAAATAGTTGTTTGTTTCCAATTTTGGTTCATGGATCATTACAAGGCCTTGGTGTCGTAGTTATTTCCAGAGCCACAGCATGAAGTTTGCAGCTCACCGTGGAGTCTTGCTGCAAGAGCACAATAGACGCCATTCACTCCCCACAGAATCGTGACCGCTCACAGCAGACCTGACGCTATCACAGGGACCCCATGGGAGACAGAAAGATATCAAAAAGATGCACATTGGGGAATTATTATATTTGAGTTTTAACCTATGACAGAATGTTTTTCCTGCATACGGATAGGAACTTTCCTATAATCTCAAATTTCAAACCTTTACAGGCTAAATTTTAAATCGATCTCTTCTTTTTGACTTATTGAACCATACTACAATATTTAGTGAGCTTTGCTTTCAAAATTATTGCAAACTTTCAGGAAACTCAACTGAAAGGCTAGTGCTCTAATCAGTTCCATCTTTTTGCTCTTATTTTAATGGTTAAACATGGCAAAGGATTATCAAGTTATTGAGTAGAGAGGTAGTTGTCGTGGTATTCTTTCAGCCTAGGAATATTTTATACAAAACCACACTTTAAAATATTGGTGGGGTTGTCATTGAGTATAATAATATTTAAGGTGAAGAAAGAGGGCAAAAATCCTCTCACTAGAAAAACTCTTTAAAGGCTGGATAAATAGTAAGGAGTGTGTTTAATACAACTAATTTATAGATAAATGTGGTGCCAAGCTAGAATACATTAACAAGGTAAGGCTTCAGGGTCTCTAGGTAAGATAATATATTGCTTTCATTAAAAAGCAATCTGCATGGACGATATCCACCACCACTGGAAACTCTGCAGCTGTCACCTTTATCAGGGGAACAAGAGCAAGCCACTACATTTTAATCACTGGAGTTTGTCAGGAACGAAAAACAGCCAGCTTCCCACAAATCAACAGACATGTATCCTGATAAGGAAAGTGCATTGGAAAAGGACAGCTACACACCACATGACACCACCCTATTCTAGGGTGATCAAAGCTCCGTAATTGTTGAAGATAAATCTACTGAATTGAGCTTTAGGATGAAACAGTTGTCTTTGAACAAAGCAGACACATACTTATACAAATTACTCACAACTTAGAACATGTTTAGATCTGAGCATATTTTGCAATGTGGGAAGGAATGGAAGATAGAATGGCAAAGCACAAGGCATCTTCACACTACACTTGTTCCAATAACTTGTGTCTGACCGTGTTATGCTTTGATCAAATTGAGAAGACATCATGAAAAAATTGGAAGAAGAGTCAGTCAGGAAAAGACATCTAGGTGGAAACAAAACATTGCACAAATGAGACAGGAACAAGGAGTTATTTTTTGACATGCTCACGCCGTTCATACCTGCACTTGGGAAAGCAGAGAGAGACCAGCCCAGACGCCACAAGACCACTGCAGCCCCGTTCCAGCTCACCTAAATACAGGGCCCTCACAATAGCACTCCTTGTTCAAGGTGACTTGAGAGGGGCTCTGTACTTTCAACATAGGAACTTAACTTTAATAAAAATGTTACAAATGAGCAAATCAAACCAAAAACTGATTACTTACAAATAATCCATTTTTAAGGACCAAACCTAATCAAAAGCTGACTATGAGATAGAAACGAAGAGCTGGCCAAACAGGCATTAGGGTTTGTAAATAGGAGTGCCTCAAAACCAACAGCTGCTTAAAGATTACTGAAGTATAGGAAGATATACAAAAATAAAACATGGTAGGGGAAAGGTTACCATTTACTCACAGGGGGAGCAAACCAGAAACTGAAGTCTAGCTTTGGAAGCCATCAACAGTCACAGCCTAGGAGATTGTGATCTATTTTCAAAACTTAAATGGGACTATGGTCTCTGTCTTAAATTTTAGCTGTTGAATGCTAGCTACCCAAATATCAACTAGGGCAACTTGTTAATAAGACAAAACTGAGTATATTGCTTACCAATGTAAGCACATCAGAACACATCAACTCCACAGACTTCTAACACATTTTTCTAAGTTGATGTGAAATTCACGTAACATAAAGCAAACCAATTTAAAGTATGTGATTCAGTGGCATTTAGTTCACTAATGTTGTGCAAACATCATCTCTATTCTAGTTCCAAAGAGTTTCATCATCCCCAAAGGAAATCGCATAACTATCAGGAAGTCATTACCCATTGTTCTACCAAAACCACCCAAACCCCTGGCAACCACTAATCTGTTTCCATGTCTATAGATTTACCTATTCTGGATATTTCATATAAATGGAACCCTACAATGTGCAATTCTTCATGTCTGGATTCTTTCACTTAGCATCATGTTTTCGGGGTTCACCCATGTTGTTGCATGTATTAGTACTTCACTCCTTTTATATGGCTGAATAGTATAATATTTCATTATATGGCTATACCACATTTTATTTAATCATTCTTTTTTTGATGGACATTTGTGTTTTGGGATTTGCTTTTTATTACCTTCTGGCTATTGTGAATACCACAGATTTCAAAGAAGGGCAAGGCTTGGTTTATTGAAACTTTAAGTCTAGGTTTAAGGTTGGTCTTTCAAAGTGGAGACTTGAGTAGAACTGGGTAAGGACCAGGATTTAATAGTTTAGGATTTGTAGAAATGGCAAGAATTTTGAGGTAAGGGCTCAAAGAGTCTTAAATGTGAATTGCCTATTGATGCTTTCTATTGAAGAGTTGATGGATCTTTCAGGAAATTCCTGTAATAAGCAATCAAGTTATTGACCTGGACAAAAGACTCTTGAAATAGTAAAGTTTCTCTATTGAAGACAAGGGAATAGTAACATCATGATAATATAAACAGTAAGCTGTGGGATGGGGGGTGATGGTTTCAATTCTCACACCACAAGAGATGCAGATACATAAAAAGGACACATTTTCAGGCAGTACTGGGGGCAGAACTGCTCCTGAACTGTTCCAATCACAAAATTCTGCAAAAACGTTAGTAAGATGTATCCATATAGTAGTTCTAATAAATAGTAAGATCCTCTAGGGCAAGGGTCTTATCTGTTGGCCCTGTGTATCATAGCAGCATAATATATAACCTAGCACATCATAGCAGCTTCCTAAAATCTCTAAGACTAATAATTATATTACATGATAGTCTCACAGTGATGACTAAGCAAACATCCATCTCCAGATATTATATATTTTGCCAATAAAAGAGAGCACTACTTTAAGTATCTTAAATTAGTTGCTTCATATTATCTATGCTCATGGGAAGATATTCTATCGTTTAATAAATAATGATCCTTTGCAGCTTGGCCATTAACCAATCTCTAAAAGGATATTGGAGAAATTGGAATGCCCTTGCAAGGTAGAAGCTGTAAAGACTAAAATAAACTTGGCAGCCAGGCTAAGTATCCAATAGCTGATACTGTCTGATAACACAGAGCATATTTATAATGAGAGTTTCCTGTAATTAAAGAAAAACTAACTGTAAAGGAGTAGAAAGGACAAATATTTCATTCCTGCTGCCTTTGGATCGATCAGAAAGAATATTGCAAAAATAAAGACTTGGCTATTCATTTTCAAATACAAATAATCAAAGCATATATTGTACTTCTCAAGGAAAAAAAAA